CATGCAGAGAAGTTGTTGCAGAAAGGTTTTAACAGCTCACCCTGGGACCTCAGGACAGTCTTCTGTTAAACAGAAAGAGCAAGAGGTTGATTTCAAAATCTGGTCCAGGGGGTCTCCGGTGTGTTCAAATTGGTGCATGGCACATTTAAACACGCATGTTTTTATTACATCTTTTAAATGGCTTCAATGTTCTTGAAAGTAGAAATTGAAGGAGCTGGCCTGGTAGCGTAGTGGTTAAGTTCACACGCCCTGCTGTGGAGGCCCAGGGTTCTCAGGTTTGGATCCTGGGCGCAGACCGATGCACCGCTTGTCAAGCCATGCTGTGGCGGCGTCCCATATAAAGTAGAGGAAGATGGGCATGGATATTAACCTAGGGCCAATCTTTCTCAGCAAACAAGAGGAGGATTGGCAACAGATGTTAGCTCACGGCTCATCTTCCTCAAAAAAAAAAAGAGTAGAAATTGAAGCACATGGTTCTATGGAAGCAATATACTTCAAAAACCACTACCCTGAGGGGTAGCAGGGCCTCAGGGCCTCAAATGCCTTCTTGGATATGAACCGTAGACCAACCTAATTGGCAATCTTTGCATCCTTAATCTAAGTTCCTCTATCTGTTTGAACAACCACAGATCTAGCATCTCTACCCACTGTTGGGAAATTACCCCCAGTCATACAATAGGAACTTTATAAAGGAATTTAGCTCTAAGAGCCAATTCCCATGTGTGAAGGGGAGAGGATAGGTGAAGAAAAGAATTTCCTTGTAACTCAATTAGCAAACCATCTGTAGTAAATTCCAGGTTAGTCTAGAGTAAACTTGTTCCTCTCTTTCTTCTTCCATGCACCAAGTATATTTATGGTGGCATATTGGGCATGTGTGTTGGAGGGGTAGAGGTGGGGCAAGAACGTCTTTTGTTTTATCGGTAAAATCATCAAATGTTTATGTTCACTCCAGAAAGGAGTGTTCTATGATGGCTTGCAGAGAGACAGTAGTTATTGCCAGCCCTCCCAGCTGGCTATGGGAATTGTAGACTCTGAGAGGTGGTGATGCCAGTCCTGATCTCAGTTCCCCTACATTAAACCCTGGGCCGCAGAAGCGGAGTGCGTGAACTTAACCACCGGGCCAGCCCCTGGAAGCCTATTTTAATCTTTTGAGGCTTCTAAATAAAATCAGAAATACTGTACTGCTTCTTTAAAAGAAAATAATTAAATAATTAGAAATGCTAGCAGCCAAAGCCAAATCTGCCACTCCTCTCTCCTCTCCCACGGAACTTCCCTACTTCAACTCCCCCAAAATTCCTGACCTAAAATTAAGCAAGTGAAAATAAGTAAACTTTTTTTTTTTTTTTTAAAGATTTTATTTATTCAGTTTTTCCCCCCAAAGCCCCAGTAGATAGTTGTATGTCATAGGTTCACATCCTTCTAGTTGCTGTACGTGGGACTCGGCCTCACGTTGGACGGAGAAGTGGCGCCTCGGGGCGCGCCCAGGATCCGAACCCGGGCCGCCAGCATCAGAGCGCGCGCACTTAACCGCCAAGCCACGGAGCCGGCCCGAAAATAAGTAAACTTTTGAAAAAATTTGGCATTGTAATGGCCATTCTTGGAAACTCTGTTTCAGGTGAGTCCACCTTAAGGGTCACCCTTCGAAGAGAGGATTCAAAACCTCTAATAATAGAATGCAGTCTTTAATTAATATGCAGAAACTTCTAAAAGCAAAGTTATTTCACATGCTATAAAATGATCCTTGGTAAATCAAAGCCTGTTTAAGTTTGTTGGTTTAAATAAAATAAATATGTTTTCAGAGTTATCAACATTGGATATGACACAGACCTGATATCTCTGTTATGCAGTTTGTCAGCAAAAGTAGTAACTTAGAATAATAGCTGATTTTGATTAATGCCTCATGAGGTTTTTATAGACAATCTAAATATAATTGTTGAGGACAGGTAAACTAAATAGATGTAAAAAAGATAAAAGTGTTTGGAGAAACTTTTTAACAGTAATGATGTGTTATGGTGTATACATGTAAAACAACTTGAGATTATGGCTCACTGCTTTAATGTCACACAAAGGTTTTAAGAGCAATCTAAACATAATTGCTGAAAACAAATAATTTAGATAAATAAAAATGGGTAAGAGTTTTTGGGTGTAATAATTATGTTTTATGGTATATATGCGTAAAAAAATAGCTTCCAAAATCTTTTTGGTAACTTAAAACTTTAGAGTTTGCTAAATTAAGTTAAATGATAAAAATTTCTTGAGTATCAGGGTCATTTTCTTTTTGTGTGTGTGTGAGGAAGATCAGCCCTGAGCTAACATCCATGCCAATCCTCCTCTTTTTTTTTTTGCTGAGGAAGACCGGCTCTGAGCTAACATCTATTGCCAATCCTCTTCCTTTTATTTTTCTCCCGAAAGCCCCAGTAGATCGTTGTATGTCATAGTTGCACATCCTCCTAGTTGCTGTATATGGGACGTGGCCTCAGCATGGCCAGAGAAGCGGTGCGTTGGTGCGTGCCTGGGATCCAAACCTGGGCCTCCAGTAGCAGAGCACGTGCACTTAACCGCTAAGCCACGGGGCTGGCCCCAGGGTCATTTTCAAGTAAGATAAAATACTAAAACATTATGGCTAAACATATCTAAGTTTATCTACTTTTGGCTTCTTATTACAGAGAAACTAAAAGGTGTTTTGGGTCTATTGGTAAAGGTATCTTGTGTTTTGTTAAAAGATTGTACTATAAAGTAATGTGTTTCTAAAATTATAAAAAATGTTTATAAACTTGCCAAGCCACAGACCGCTAATGTAAAAAACAGTTTATAATTGCTTACTTAGTTTTTACTTAGAAATTAAGATTTCTAAGGGTAAAAAATTCTAATATGTGATTAAGACTACTAGAAATTAATTTTAAAAAGTTTGTATTGAAGGAAAGTGAGATAGGTTTTCAGTAAAAAAGGTATAAAAAATAGAAATCTTTTTGTTTGTTTTGTTAAGAAAGATAAATTTGTCCTAAAGGACTAGGAGGAAAAAAAAGGGAAAACATATGACAAATTCTGAATGTAAAAAGTAAGTGACAAAAGGTTTATAATAGTAAAACCCTGAAGAGTTTTGTGCCTGGTCAAGCTGGTTAAAGTAAGCTGGTGGAAAATTAAAATTTGATCTTCTCTCTCTTAAAAGGAGAATTTTCTTAAACTTTGTGTCTGCTCTTGATAAAAGGCTTATGAAAGGTTTGTTTTGTTTGTTTGTTTGCTTTTTTGCCTGTTTAAACTCTGCCTTCGACTGTTTCTCTTATCACTTTGATTGGATGGATAACTAAACATTATTTCATAGGGACCTATAACATTAGGTGGGTAAATGTTATTGCTATAAATGTTGAAAAATTATATAAGATTCCTAAAATTCTGATTGTCCTGGTTGTCAGTCATAAACCTAGTTATTATCTCAAAGTGTTCTATGTCACAGAAATAACCAAATTTCTTTGTCAAATGTCATTTTTAAGTCTTTGGGCGTTTACAGACAGTTATTGTTTTACTCTGATGTCTTTACAAATACATTTAATCTTCGGAGAGATTCATGGAAAGAACTCTGACACTTACTCTAGAATATAGGTTTCTGATAAACTTTCAGATTATGCAACTGAGCTAAGTGAAAAATTACAGAACTGTAAAGGAAAAACCAATGGCATCATGAAACAGCTAACAGAAGATCAAGAGTTGGTTACATAAAACTAAGTCAACTGAGAAAAATGATTATAATTTTTATGACTTTTTGTTTGAAATATTGCTCATTTTTTTGGTGTTTTGTTTTTTTCAGATTAAAGAAAAACTTATTCTCTTTTCTCTTAAGCTAACTATGACTTATAACAGTTTGGTAAATTATACCTTTGTAAGCAGAACTGAAACGTGTATCTTTTTCTCTCTACCTGATCCCTCCAGAATTTGTAAACTCTTAGTAAGCAAATGTTCTTGTTTCATGGCAATATAGTTATTTGCATAAGTTCAATAAGAATCTGTTCTGCTTATAACAGGACACAATTGGAAACATTGGTTATATTACCAAAGTCTTTGACTGGAATATCCTATTTGAGAGAAACATACATGCACTCAGATATGACCAGACAGCTTTTGAGAGACAAAGACTGGACTTTATGGAATAAAGCCACTTGAAACTATTGGCCTGGTACCTTGTTTATAGCGTTCTAAACAGCAACCTTACTGGATAAGTAAGGAAGGTCACTTATCTGGCAGGTGCCTAGAACCTCAATATTTTGGGGAAACTCAAAACAAGAGAGGAATTCACCCAGATCTATAGGTATTGCAGGCAGAGTCTGATGACAAGTCCTTGGCTTGGCTTTCCTGGCCTCGAGAGGCCTTTAAAGTTCAATCTGAGATTCCTTATAAAAAATTTCAGCAAAGCAGATTTAAAAGAGCCTATATGATCAACTGCTATTCTTGCTGTACTTATGTAAATAATTGGGCCAAGTTTATTAAAACTAGACTTATTTACAAACCAGTGAGGCTTAATTTCGCTATATTTTATAAAAAAATGAGGGTGATTTTAGAGAGAAAATTATGTTTCAATAGAAACTATAATACACATTTGTGAATGTTGAATTCTGGTTCTGCTAATTGTCTTGAGGTTTTTATTATGTCTGTTAACTGAATTGAATCATGAATCCTTCTAGTCTCCTGAAATATCTGGCTAAATCTCTGAATTAACGTTTTCCATTTTTTCCATCATTTTCATTTGGAATCATTGATTGAGAACTGAACCTGTCCCTTTTCCTGAAGCCTTACAAACTGAAGCTGGAGGACTTGATATAAACTTAAGAGAGATGCAGGTCTGTTGCTGTGTAAGCCACTCAGAAAGGTACCTGAATACCCAATAACATCATCAGAGACATTTCAAACTGAAAAAGGTGCTTTGACCCTGACTTCTAAAAATCTTGATTGGCTGCCCCTCTGGGCTCAAGAACTGGTTTATAGTTTGCTCCAACCATTAACCTTGATTTTCTTTTTGTTTATCTAGAACTACTTCTTATTAAATACTTGGTTACTTACTTACACAATACAGGCCTAACATTGGGAGCCCACCTGCATCACCACCTTACTAAGAGACTGGTCCAATGAGATGGAACAACCTCACTGCTTATCAGCAGGTATCCCCAGAGGTACCAGATCCAAACTGGTTTTCAGAACTGTTTTCTTGGATTCCCCAAGGGATTAAATCAATTTTTCAGGAACTGGTCAAATTTGGGTTGTCTATTCTTCTTATCCTCCTGGTCAGATACTTAATGTACCTTTAGATGCTGTTCCAAAACTGCTGAACAAGGCACAAAAGTTCTAATAATACAAAATGTCAACCTGAAGCCAGGAACAAAAAATATTTCCAAATGAGTGCTAAACAGTCTCATTCCTCTAACTGGGACCTACACCCTGATTCAGCAGGAAGTAGCTAGATAAGTCATCACCACAAATCCCTCAAGCTTGAGGAATGAACATAAAATAGGGGGGAATTGATGCCAGTCCTGATATCAGTTCCCCTACATTAAACCCAGCATATATCAGGTTAAAACGAAAAGCACTCATCCTCTTTCCCTGCTTCTCAAAGTTACATTCATATGTAAATATCACGTTTCTTCAAAACCTTTGTATCTCTGAACTTCACAAGGCAAATAGAAGTTACAAATTGTTAAAAGCCCAGTGTGAGGCCACCTGAAGTTTTGGCTAATTACAAGTTCTTGAGGTTTGTTATAGGAAAACTGATATCCAGAAAATAGCAAGAAGCTAGAGCTTCCCAGACCTCAACTCCTTGGCTTCCTGGTGCCAGAATCCACCATCCACCACGGAGACAGACAACGAAGGACACCCACCTGTGGATTCCCTTATCTCACCATCCTCCTCCCTGCCAGCAGCCTCACAAGGCCAAATGCAGGCTGGTGGGAAAGCACCAAACAGCAAGGCCACAGGCTTCCCCTCCCTACAAGCAGCCACATTCCTCGCAACCTTTAAAGCCCCTTGCCTCCTATCTTTTGGGGAGATGAGACAAATTTGAGGGCTCACTCTCATCTCCAGGCTGATGTGACCCAAAATAAAAACACTTTCCTTGCCATCAGCCTGGAGTTTCAGTTTTTATTTGGCCCCTCTTGTGTGGCAGGTAAAAGAACCTGTGATTGTGGCACCAGAAACAGTGGCACCGCCTAACAGTAATGATGATGCTGCTGATGATTGTGCCTTCTTCCTGTCTGGGGAGCCCAGCAAATAGCTTCATTCCTTTGGCTCCTGAAGGTTTTCGCACCTTCCAGAGCTCTTCTTTAGAATTCCTGGACCCAACAGCTGCATAGACTATCATAAAAAAAAAACAAAAAGAAGACTACTAGAAAAATTAACATGATGATGATGATGATAAAAAATAACCTTCCCAAGTCACCTGATTTGCTGAGATCACATTTACAAGCCATTGAGTGAGCTGATTCCTCCCCAAATCGAAAAGTAGAATCTTGTGACATTGGGAAAAAGTTTATTTCTCCTCTTTTTCTCTCTCATTACTTATCACAATATTTATCAACATCTGGAATTCTGCATAATGTATGCATGTTAGAGGTTGCAAAGGTAAAACAGATGAGGCCTGAGGGGAAGGGTGGGCAGTGCAGCCACTAGGGAGCTGGGAAATAAAGAGAAGAGGTGGACTTGATGAGGGGAAAGGAACACTGAATTCACTGATGGGCCAAGGGCTACTCCTTTGGAATCCAAAGGCAGCCTCGGTTTCCTAGTTTTGAATGATCTGGAATTAGTTGACCTCTGTCTGACAGAAGCCCTGCAGGAAGGCCCAGCTGTACTGGAGCACCCCAAGTAACCCTCAGTAATTTCATCCAAACCAGAATCATGGAGCCCCTGTACTCACTGATGCCTCTGGAGGGCCCTGAAACATGTCCTCTCTCCAGGATGTCTCTGAGGTTGTTTCCTGCCTTTTGCCAGGGACCCAGGGCGGCTGCTCACTTCTGAGGCCTGTGTGATCTGTGGTTATCATAATATCATACTAACAGTGACTACCGATTGAGCAGCTACTTGATCCCAGGATGATACCCAGGCTCCCAAATTTGCTTGAGGTAGGTATTATTGTAAATAAGGGAACTGGGCCTTGGAGATGCTAACTATCACACCTAGATCTCATGCCTCAGCACTGGAATTCATACCCAGCCCACCTCATCCCAAAGCCTATGCCCTTAACCACTAGGCCACTGAAAGCCAGACATAGGGGATTCTGTCTGCCTAGAGCCTCCACCTTGCAGGAGACTCAGCTCCAAGGTCTTTCCCCCTTTTCTTTTCTCTGTTGTTTTCCTGCAACCTGGTGCCATCTCTGTCTTCTCCACCACAGCAGGACTCTTGAAATTGCCAGGGACAGCAACTCAGTTCAAACAGCCTACAGGAAAAAAGGGAACTTTTTCGTTGTTGTTGTTCACGGCACTAAAAAGTCCAGAGGATAGATCTAGTTAGTATAAAGCATGGCTAGATTCAGGTCCTCTGGAATGTGTCACTCTGTCTCTCAATTCTGTGTTGGCGTCACCTTCTGGCAGGCTTCCCCTCCTGGGGGCAAGGAAGCAGCTCTAGGCTCACCTTCCTGCCAAGCCTGACAGCCCTATTGAAGAGAGTGTCTTTTCTCCATTTTCAGGACAGGCAGGTCTCTTTCACAGTTGCCACCTGCAGTGCAACAGGCACAGGGGCAAATCTGCTATGGATCAGCAGCATAGGCATCACCTGGGACCTTCTTAGAAATGTGAATTCTAGGGCCCCATCCCAGACCTACTGAGTCAGAAGCTCTGGGGGGTGGGCCCAGCGAGCTGTGTTTCAACAAGCCATCCAGGTGGTTCTGATGCACACTCAAGTATAAGAACCACTGGGTTAAGGAACAGGCTTTGGTGGGGATACATATAAACCAGCAATTAGTAGAAGAGCAGGCACAGGTCCCCACGGAGAGACACACTGAGGCAGGGCATTCTGTTGGACATCTTGTAGGTGTATGTTCCCATCTCCCTCTCTTTTTCTCTCCCTTGTAATAGGGCAAGTATGAGAATAACTGTGAATGGGGGCAATCAGACTATCAGGGTGCTAGGCAGTGTGAATTTAGGTACCGACTATTTACAGGGGTTGTCAGGAAAAGCCCATTGCCCAGCACTTGGGGACCTTTGGGACCCTTGGGAGGTCATAACTCCACCAGCCACGGAAAGGATGCTAGTAGACCTGGGGGAATCTGGGTCCAAGCACAGCCCCCACTGCGTCCAGGCATCCCACGGTAAGCTTCTGGGATCACTGTTGGACAATTATCTCTTTTGCACCAAACCACATTTCTAGCAAAAGTCCTAAAGTTTGGGGGTTGAGTCTGGACCAACTTGAGCCATGTGCCTGTCCTTGAGCCAGTTTGGAGAGTTGATCAATGAGGAACTTATTGAAGCTGATTGATGAGTGCTAATCACATAAGCATCCCTGCCTGCCTCCATCACTTCAAGCTGATTTCCTAGCCTTGTCCCCTGGGGTAGTTCTAAGCGGGTCTCAGGGATCAGAATCTGGATTCCTGAGGTTTCCTGAAATCTCAGGCCCCCAAAGCAGAGCTGACTCCTGCCAGCTACCTCCTGTAGTTCTCACCGGCATAAACAGGCCCCCCCAATTCCTCCTGGGTTTTAGTCCACGCTACCTCAAGCCCTCCAAGCTCCTCATTACTTGTCCCCAGCAGGACTTGGAAAGGGATCCAAACACCTCTAGCCTAGCAGGGCCCTCTCACCACAGCCTGCCACAGAGGTGGGCAGAGGGGCTTGGTAGGCAGGAAAGAGCTCTGACCGGGAGGCAGGCAGGACACCTGGATCTGCAAATGACTTTGAACGTCACTTAAGCTCTCTGGGCCTCCATTTCTCCATATGTAAATGCTGGATTTGGCTCTACAGATGCTCTAAGGTCCTTCCAAGTTCTAAGATCCTATAATTTTCTAAAGTGTTGTCTAATTTTTCTAAGTATTCTAAATTCCCTGCCCTCAAAACAGCTCTATCTCATGCATCGCTGACTGACACAACCCTTAAAAACTTGACATAAAACTCTTCATACATGTTATATCATTGACAGTCAAAATAACCATCTAAGGTAGGTATTTCTGTCTGCCCCAAGCCATATGGTGAGTTAGCAGACCCAGGTCTCCTGTCAAAGCCCAGTCCACTGCTCCACAAACCACCCCCACCCAGGCCTTAACCTCCCCTCTCCCTTTCCTAGAAAAAAAATCCAGCCAGGGCAGCCCAGACTATAGGACCCTTGGCTAATTCCTTCTTTCCACGTGAAGCTTTGATGGGGGAGCACAGACATCAGGAGTGGGGAGTTGGGAGAGTAGGAGACACATCATCTTTCATTATAGGTACCTGGTCAGTGTCACACACATGACAGATTAGCAGACCAATGATCAGAGGTAAGGCTGAGACCATGTGTGAGGGTGTTTTTTTAAAAAAGACAGCAAAGGTTCTAAAGCTGGAGGCATCACAATCCCTGACTTCAAAATATACTACAAAGCTATAGTAATCAAAACAGCATGGTACTGGTACAAAAACAGACACACAGATCAATGGAACAGAATTGAAAGCCCAGAAATAAAACCACACATCTACAGACAGCTAATCTTCACCAAAGGAGCTAAGAACATACAATGGAGAAAGGAAAGTCTCTTCAATAAATGGTGCTGGGAAAACTGGACAGCCACATGCAAAAGAATGAAAGTAGACCATTATCTTACACCATACACAAAAATTAACTCAAAATAGATCAAAGACCTGAAGGTGAGACCTGAAACTATAAAACTCCTAGAAGAAAATATAGGCAGTACACTATTTGAGATCAGTCATAAAGGGATCTTTTCAAATTCCATGTCTACTCAGACAAGGGAAACAAAAGAAAAAATAAACAAGTGGGACTTCATCAGATTAAAGAGCTTCTACAAGGCAAATGAAACCAGGATCAAAATGAATAGACAGCCCATAAGCTGGGAGAAAATATTTGCAAGTCATATATCCGACAAGGGGTTACTCTCCATAATATAGAAAGAACTCACATAACTTAACAACAAAAAAACAAACAATCAAAAATTGGGCAGAGGATATGGACACTTTCCCAAGGAAGATATACAGATGGCCAATGAGCATAGGAAAAGACATTCAACATCACTAATTATCAGGGAAATGCAAAGCAAACCTACACTAAGATATCACCTTACACCCGTCAGAATGGCTATAATCACCAAGACAAAAACAACAAATGTTGGAGAGGTTGTGGAGAAATGGGAACCCTCATTCACTGCTGGTCAGAATACAAACTATTGCAGCCTCTACGGAAAACAGTATGGAGATTCCTCAAAAAATTAAAAATAGAAATACTTTATGATCCAGCTATCCCACTACTATGTATCTAGCCAACGAACCTGAAATCAACAATCCAAAGAGGCTTATGCACCCCTACATTCACTGCAGCATTATTCACTATAGCCAAGAAGTGGAAGCAACCCAAGTGTCCCTCGACTGACGATTGGATAAAGAAGATGTGGTATATATATACAACTCAGCCATAAAAAAGACAAAATTGCCCATTTGCAACAACATGGATGGATCTGGAGGGTATTATGTTAAGGGAAATAAGACAGAGAGAGAAAGACAAACAGTGCATGATTTCACTCATATGTGGGATATAAACTAACACATGGACAGAGAGAACAGTTTGGTGGTAACCAGGGGCAAGGGGGTTTGGAGGTGGGTACAAGGCGTGAAGGGAGGCATTTGTATTGTGACTGACAAACAATAATGTACAACTAAGATTTCATAATGTCAATTAAAAAAAAAAAAAACAGAAAAGGTTCTGCAGGACATCTCCAAAGAGAAAAGGAAAAGGCAGGGGTAACAGAAACCAGAACCCCTGGGGGACCAGAGATGGGGGACTGCATGGGATCTCACAGGAAGAAACAGCTTGAAAGGTATTTCCTGTCATGTCAAGTATTTTCACCATAAGCTTCTTTGCTGCAAGCAGTTTTGCCACAAGCACTTCCTGTGTCTGGGAGGAGACAGACTTGAGGGAAGGGAGTGTGCCTCCACACTTGGAGCGGGCAGCACGGCTGCCGTGCAACATAAGGCATTAAACCTCTCTGGCTCAGTGAACAGCAGCCTCCCCTTGCTTTCTACTGAGAAGCCACTGCACTAAAGACCACGATGGCAGAGGAGCTGGGGTCGGCAGCACCGTCTGGTGACAGCCTTGCATTTAGGGGACCTGGGTTACACTTCCAGATTTATTGTTCCAAGTTGAAACCAGGCTCCTTTCCTCCTAAACCTGGGCCTGTGGGTGTGGAAATGGCTTGGATTTTGGTCTGAGAGAGTCCTACCTAGTACCAGAGCCAGCTCACTCTGTGTTTCTTGAACTGTAAAACAGGAATTCAAGTCTCTACAAGGTTATCATGAGGAATAAATAAGAGCTTACTTAGCACAAAGGCACACAATTAGGTGTAAAAGAAATGGCGGTAGGCAGTAGTAGATCTCGGACTGTTTTGACCATTGGTGTCGAGATCAGTTGAAAGGTAGGTCCCATGTCATTAGTTGCTAATAGTTGAAGTACCAAAGTTTGTAAATTACTTACAGTGGAGTCATATCATATATGCATGTAACTTAATGAAACTTCAACTATATGCATGCAGAAAAAAAAAGTGAGAATTAATGATCTAAGGGAAGACACTCTGATAAGCATGTAAGTTTGAGTGAGCATGGGGAGGGTCTTGTTGATCCTCCAGTTTTCAGCCCTTCACGCCTCTGTCACACCACGGGCCACTAAATGTAACTCAAGAGTTCTGCTTGACACCATGTCTTTAGAACTTAATGTAAGCCCTGACTCAGTGCACTTTAAAAAATAATTAGATCAAACAAGGCCTTCTTTGTAGCACTCAGATGCATTTGCACTCAAATAGTACAAGAGGTGGAATTACAATGGCAGATATAGCCAAGGGTGTGCCAAGCATGATGCCATGGACTTACGGATAGGAAAGCTGATCTGTGAGGAAGGGTCAGCCTCAACCGCCATTGCCTCATGTTCCCTTGTTCATTCAACTCAACTCAACTCTGAAGAAGGAAGAAATACTGAAGAAAGCCCCAACCCCAACCCACTACCTCTGTCAGACATCATGCCCTAAGTGCAGCAATCTTCCCTTAAACATTTCTCGTTGTCTCACATGAGAGCATGGCCCTGGACTTAGACCAACCTGAGCTGGAGTCCAGGCATCACCACTTACTGTATGATCTTGGGTCAGGCCACTTGGCCTCTCGCAACCTCTCTGCTCACTAATAACATGGGAGTAATACCATCACCTCATAGCCAGAGGCTAAGAATACAAAAAGCAACAAGCCACAAGTATGGACTGTTCAGTCAAGTAGGAACATTTCAGGAGTCTGTGCAGCTCAAGGATTAAAAGTAAGGTCTCATCCTGGTGTTCAAGGCCTCTCCTTCCAGTCCTCCAGACCACCTTTCTAGCCCTCTATCTCATAGTTCCCCCTATACTAGAGCTGAACCCCCTGCCCCCTAACTCACTCTTGCTTAAGCTGTTCTGCTGCTTGGAATGCCCTTGCCTTCAATTCCTATCAAAAATCTTCAGTTCTTTCAAAATCCATTTCAAGCACCACCTCTTGCATGCGGCCCTTTTCCTATTTCTGCCAGGCACTGGAGTCTGAAGCAGGGCAGAGAAAAGGAAGTGCCAACAGATGGCAAGGCTGTTCATGTGCCTGCCTTCTCCCTCAAGCCTGAGATTCCCAGCAGGTTGAGGTTAGGTCTCAAACATTCAAGCAAACTCTGATAACAGGCCTTCCATTTAGTGGATGACCCTTAGAAGAGCCTTAGTTACCCTTCCAAGGTGGGTTCTTGTTTTTCTTTGATTTCTAAGACCAGACAGGGGTTCAGTACATGACCATTTAGGCAAGTAGGAGGGAGCACAATTTCCCACCCACTTTCCTATGATTTGAATCACAGTGAGGCCTCTTATAAACTGTGTGACTTTATGACAGATACTTAACCTCTATGAGTCTCCATTCTCATCTATAAAATTAGACTAATAATATTACTAAGCTTCTTTTGAGAAGAAAATCAACTACAAAGCACCTAGCACCCAGTAGGTGCTCAATAAATAACAGTGCCCCAAGGAGAACTGGATAAATCTAAAGTGGAAATGGGGAGATAAAGAAAATATGAATTGGAACACAAAAAATAAGGTAGAGGAAATAAATACAAACAGGGATTACAATAAATATAAATGGGTTAAATTCACCTATTAAATGACAGTCTTAGGTTGGGTTAAAAAACAGGCTGTTTACAAGACACACATGAAGAGATAAGACTTCTTTGACTTTACCCATCCTTTCAAGCCCAAGGGTTTGCCTGCAGCCTTTATCCCTCTGCACTGCAGACAACCACTTGTCTTTATCAGCACACAACTATTACCCCTTGCTCTAACCCTTGCTCATGCCGTACGTTGTTGGCAGTGGATTATCTATATAATAAAGGCTCAAAATTCTTTTAGGCACCAAAATCTTTATTTACCCACTTTCCTGCTCTCTTTTAACATTATAAACATCATACATAAACATTATAGAACAAATTACTCTCTTTTTGATCCAAGGTTGTGATAGGAACCATCATGTTACAATGTGGTGGCAGATCTATGCCTGCTTTTATGTTTCTCTGGGCCTTCTCAACCTCTGGCTGTCATTTTTCTTATCCTTTCTTCGCTATTCCTTAACAGTACATTCTAACCCCTGTAAAATAGGGACTGAAAGTACTAAGCTCATTGTTCTGAGGTTTAAGAGAATGTCTAGCACTAAGCCAAGCTCTTAGGAACACTCAAACTCCAACAGTTCCTCCCTGCCCTTTGATATAGGTCCTTCTCATCTGTCATGGGCTGAGGAACCAGTGAACCTGTAAGCCAAGAACATGAGTATAAAGTCCATAAGCCAGGTGAGGGCCTAGATGGTAAAGTGGATGGGCTTTGTGAACACCACTGCTGACTTCCAGCCTAAAGGAGGACTGACTGAGTGAGCAGTTCCAAAACCCCTGAGCTCATGGTTCCCTGTGGGTATCTCCCGTGTACCTCCATCATGACCAGGGCTTGAGGCAGGGCTTCTCAATTCCCCCTGCCAAACTTAGAAGAGTATGAGAGGTGCAGCAGAAGCCAAAGACTGAGTGACCAGCCCCAGGGAGTTGATGGGGGACATTAACAAACCAATCTCAAAGTTGGTGCCACTGTTCTTGGGGAGGAGAGGTGGGATCCGGGCCAGGGCAGCAGCTGGAAGGCTAAGGGCCGGCCTGATTCTCAGTAGCGGTAGTGATCAGGTTTGAAGGGGCCATCACGGGACATGCCCAGGTACTGGGCCTGTTTCTCAGTCAGCTTGGTCAGCTTCACGTTCAACTTGCCCAGGTGGGCTTCAGCCACTGCTTCATCCAGCTGGGGAGAAACACAGGAAGACCTGCAATCAGTGCCATGCTCTGGGACCCCTTACCTGCATCCAGCTGCCAACAGAGGTCAGAACTGTTCTGTTGTGGTATCTGCCATGTGTGTTACGCATACCATCTCATTCTGTCCTCACAGCCAACCTCAGTGGACGTGTTGTTTTTGGCTACCCAGTTCCCTTTCCTGAGGAGGGAACCACACTACATCCTCTCCTCCAAGTAGCCCCGGTAGGACCACCAATTACATATCCTTCCTCACCATCCACCAACCCAAGCAGCTAACCAACAAGCTTCCCTGGAATTTATCCATGGACAGGACATATTTTCCATGACAAGTAGAGACAGGCTCTCCAATTCCACTGGGATTCCTAAACAGGGCGGTTGTCAGTCTCAGCTCACCAGTGGCAAGTCTATTTGACAAATGAAGTGAATGTAGAGAAAAAATGAGCCAAGAGACAGAGAAAGACAGCTCTGACATTGAATCCCTGGATCCAGTGTCCTCCATTAAATAGCCAATAGAGCTCCTTTTTAGATTAAACTGGTTGTGGTTGTTTTTAAATATGTCCTTAAATTCTTTGTCTACAAATTCATAATACTCCTTCCCTCAAGAGATGGAGCCTAATTCCTCACTCCTTGAGTTACTCACTTCTAATGAACAGAATAAAGCAGAAGTGATGGTGTATGACTTGGAGACTAGGTCCTAAAAGGCATGCAGCTTCCTCCTTGGCTCTCCCCCTGGAGAAGAAGGCCAGCTGCCATCTCATGAGGACACTTAAGCAGCCCTATGCAGACACCCATGTGGCAAGGAACTGAGACCTCCTGCCAACAGTGATGTCAAGTGGATCTTTCAGCTCCAGTGAAGCCTCAGCTGACTGCAGCCCTGGCTGACTTTTTGACTGTAACCTCATGAAGGCCTCGAGTCAGGACCTAACCAAGCTAAGCTGCTCTCAAATTCCTGACCCACAAAAACTGAAATAACAGATGTTTATTGTTTTAAGGCAATAAGTCTGGGGGTTAAATTCTTATACAGCAACAGATAACTAATACACTGGTTTGAACACGGTTTCTATCTACCACTTGCCACCAAAAGGATCCAGATTAATAAAAAATTGCCATCTCCTTTTACAAATGAGGAAATCAAGGTTCAGAAAGGTGGAATGACTTGCTCAAGGTTAGTTAATGACAGCCGAAGGTTAGTTAATGACCACAGGTAGTTAATGACAGAGCTAGGATTTGAACCCAAGTCCGTCTGGCTCCAAAGTCCCAAAATTGTCTCAAGATCCCAACTTATGGCCTCCAAGGCAGCTTTGAAGAGCCAGAACAGAAACCAAGGAGGACAGAGGCTGGGGTTAGACAAGGCCAATTTCTAAGTCTCAGCAGTGCTGAAACGCATAAAAGGGGTCTGAAAAGAAGGGCAAGTGGTTGCACTTAGAGAAGGGGCTCTCACTTTCTCAGCTTCTAGCTCTGGGCGGTGCCTCTCTCTACTCTTAGGGCCCCATGTCCCAGCCCATGATGGCATGATAGCCTTGACTACAGCCCAGCCCAGAGAGCTTTACATTCCCAAGTGGTTTCATATCTACCGTCTCACCAGAGCCTCACAAACAACCCTAAGAAGGAAGGCAGGGTTTATTCTTCTATTTAACAGATAAAGAAACTGGGAAGAGGCAGGCAAAGGCAGGAGCAGAACCCAAGCCCACAACAGTTCTGGAGGCAGAATGAAGGTCTCCAAATCCCAGAGTACACTGAATCCTCCCTTCGCTTGACTGGGCCTAGCCCAGAACACCCTTCCTTCTCCCGGCACCCTGCATCCAGAAGGCAGTGTGTCACAACGGTTAACTACTTGGACAGAGCTGGGTTCTAATCTGGCCTAATACTTAACAGCTGTGGGGGCAGGTCAATCTCTGAACCTTAGTTTCCTCATTTGTAGTATGGATCTCTCACTGTTACAAAGATCAGTGCTATTCAGAGTGGTTGGTGCAAGTAGGTACCTTAATAAATGGTGGCTGGTCTGTCATTGTAGTTTATCAAGGTACCTAATCCCTCACTCACACGTTGCACGTGAGGCATGAAGCCTGTCCCCAATCCATGTCTTGGCAGTGATGGAGGAAGGAAGTCAGATTGGGGCCAGGTGCTGGGGTAGGAGATGAGATGTTTGCCTTTTCAGTTCCAACTCTGGCATCATTTCAAAGGCCTGCTCAATTTTCACCATATTCACAGCCATATTTCCTCCAATTGGGATCAGATGAAGGTCAAATGAGACTTTTTTTCGCCCCATAACAAGCCTGGGACCCTGGCAGGCTACACAGAACGGGATAGCCCTGGAGGCCCTTATGAGTAAAATATCTAGGCTGGCAACACAGTGCCTAAGAAAGACTAGCGGGAAAGGAGTTGGCTGGCTCTGGGGACAGACACCCCAGGCCTTGAGTGGACACCCAGGCCTCTTCTTACTTTTTATGAGTTGGCAGAACCAGCTTTTCAAGGGGTGGGAGGGGTAGTATGGAGACTCCATCACAGCCTCTCCAGTAGCCAAAGGCTGGAAGAGTAAAACCTACTCCTTATATTTAGCTGATAAGGAAACAGGCCCAGATAGGCTAAGGAGCAAAGCCAAGTTCACCCATGACACTGGCAAACAGAGCCAGGACTAAAACAGAGCAATTCTGACCCCTGCGGGGGAGCATGTTGCATGGGGTGTTAGGATGAGCACTGGATTTGACGTCAGAGAACCTCATTGTCATGGTAACCCTGACCACACACCCATAACATGTCAGGGGCCATGCTCAGTGTGTTAGTGGCATCATCTCATTCCAAGGCCACAGTCCTGCAGCCTATAGGCTGCATTCGGCTTATGGACATGTCCAAGTTGACCCACCTGGTTATTTTTAAAAACTGCAATGAGTTGCCTACATATAAAAATTGAATATTTCATACAAAAATTTTGATATCTGGCTTTTCTTGAAATGTCAGTGTAACTGTTAATCACAGGTTACTAACTAATCACTAATCTATATTAATCTAGCTGAGGCAGTGCTGTATAAAGTACACTTCCCTAAAAGGGACACCATTGACATGCCTCAGCAGTCTTATAAATCTGATAATGGAATTTGGCTGACCCCAGTATGAGTTATTTTCCAGGAACCAAGAAGAATGTGGAGCCCGCCCATGATGGAAACCCATTGTTAGAACAGGAAATAACATCGGACCCTGCCAGCAACACAGGAGACGAGAAGTCTGGATAGTGGATGCCAGAAATAACTAGACCTCCTCCTTATTCCCCTTTCTCCCTATGTAACTGCCTCAAGAGTTTGTACTTGTTTAAGATGGTCTTTGGGACATAAGTCCACCATCTTGCCATTTTGCTGGCTAATCAAATAAAAACCCGTTTCTCAACCACCGACTCATCTTGCAAGTGATTGGCACCAGGTTGTGGTGGGCAGAACAAGCCCTTGCTCGCTTATATCAGGAGCCCTGGTCCAATGGGTCCGGACTCCAGGTTGATGACAGGCAGCCAACCCCTTCAGCTGAGGCATGTGTTCTTCCGACAGCCCACTTCACTCATTTACCTGCCCAATCCCTGTGGGCATGTGCATTTGTGACCCCCGATCTAAGGAAATCCTCACAATCCTTAAAGGAGGTACTATCACCCTCATTTTACAGGTAAGGAAATAGAGGCATAGAGAAGTTAAGTAACTTGCCCCAATCATACAGCTTCTAGGTGGTAAGGCCGAGATTTAAACCTGGGTGTCTTTCACTCCAAAGCCCATGCTGTTCTCACCACCCAGCCCTGCCGCTCCAGGGTGTCATTCCCTGCTTTGGGCCTCAGTTTCCTCTTCTGTTAAATGGAGAGAATGATTTGTGCCCTGTAGAGGATGCTGTGAGGACCTCTAAGAGGGTAGAGAGGTGAGCACTTTACAAACTCTGGCAAGCCCTGTGAGGAGAGCCCAGCATTGGACACATGACCCTTGGCCTGGGGTGGAGGTGGGAACCCACCTTCTTGGGCAGGAAGTGGACCCCAACAGAGTACTTGTCTGGGTGGGTCCACAGCTCGATCTGCGCCAGCACCTGGTTGGTGAAGGAGTTGCTCATCACAAAGCTGGGGTGGCCCATGGCGCAGCCCAGGTTGACCAGCCGGCCCTCAGCCAGCAAGATGATGCGGCGCCCATTTTTCAGCCAGTAGCGATCCACCTGCAAGTGGGCAGAGCAGTGGTGAGGGCTGGCAGGGCACTGCTCCCAGTGTCCACCCTGCCTCATCCAACCCTGTTGTCCAGCAGGCCTCCCTACCTCCAACAGTGTCCAGGAAGGGCCTGGCACACACAATTAGTAATAAGAGCCAATATTATTAAGCAACTCTAAATTGCAGACCTCATAGGTCTCCTGGGAGAATATAATGAGCTGACACATGTAAAGCACTTGACAGATGGCTTAGCACATACAAAGTACTTGGTAAATATTAGTTAATGTTGTTATTGTTATTATTATTATTACTGCCATGTGCCCTGGGCTAAGAGCGTACACATAACTATATATACACACACACACACATATAAATAAAAATATGTATATACGTATATACACACATATAATTATCATATTTAATCCTGATAACAACCCTACGATTTAAGTACTACTATTATCCCCATTTCACAGATAAAGAAACTGAAGTTTAAAGGGTTAAGTCATTTGTCCAAAGTTGCACACTATAAAGTGGCTGCAATTTGAGCCTGGACAGTGTGAGGACAGATCCCATGTTCTCACTCCCCATGCTTAGGAAAAGCTGAACGCAGCAGCCCTCAATAATAGCTGCACATCAGAATCATCTTGGGAGCTTTGAAAAATGGGGGTGCCCTGGCCTCACTCTGAGATTCTGATTCAAGTGGCCCTGAATCCAGGCCCTCTTCCTCCCCATCCCACTGCCCAGGTTGCCAGAGCCTCCCTATCTGCGCTCCTTGGTGGCCAGCCCACAAGCATGCCCTCCGTCAGCCCTCCATCCCCCCACCCTGCTGGCAGGGCTGGGGATTCTCACCTGAGGCTTAATGTTCACCTTCTGCACAGCGTTCTCATTCAGCCACTTGACATCAATCTCCACGTCAAAGTGTCCAATGTTACACACAATGGCATCATCCTTCATCTGCTCAAAGTGCCTGTGGGGAGCCCAAGCCCATGGGAGACTGTCAGGGACAAAGAGCAGCCCCAAGCCTGCCCCCTGCCTCGCTGCCCAGGATCCGCCCACCTGGTACCTACCGGCCGAGGATGATGTCAATACAGCCCGTGGTGGTGACAAAGATGTTGCCCTCCTGACAGGCCTCATCCATGGTGGTCACCTCATAGCCTGTGCAGAGACAGTGGCCATGGGTCATCCAGGGTGGCCTGGCCCCTCCTCTGGCCCCAGTGGCTGACAGCCAACCCTCGCCCTATCGTACCCTCCATGGCAGCCTGCAGTGCGTTGATGGGGTCGATCTCCGTGATGATGACGCGGGCCCCAAAACCCCTCAGGGCCTGGGCACAGCCCTTGCCCACGTCGCCATAGCCCGCTACCACCGCCACCTTGCCCGCAATCATCACGTCTGTGGCCCGCTTGATGCCATCTATGAGGGACTCTCGGCAGCCATAGAGGTTGTCAAACTTGCTCTGAAAGGAGATGGGGCAAGGGGGTGATGTGGGCAGGCAAGGCCCTGAGATCTCAGACCCACTCTCAGCATCTCAGCCTGGTGGGCCTTGGGCTGATCACCTCCTG